GAGTAATAATATATTTCAAGGTTAATATTTCACAGGAAGTTGACGCGGACGTTTTATTACTTCCAGTTTTTGTTTTTGTTTTTTTTTTTTTTGGGGGGGGGGAAATTATTTTAAACGATAATAATGATAATTTGGGGGTATTTGCAGTCGGTCTAATAAACAAAGGGGAAAACTATCAAATCGTTAATAATTTTTTAATAATAAAAAAAAAAAAGAAAATTTATTTCTAGAATAAAAAGAATCGAATTTTTACATAAATGTAAATATTTTAATTAATTAACATAAAAATGAGAGAGAGAGAGAGACAGAGAAAGAGAGAGAGAGAGAGAGAGAGAGGGGGGGGGGAATAAGAAAAAAAACTTATTTAAACGATAGCAAAATTGTTAAAATTCTATGACAATTTATTATTATTATTATTTTGTTTAAACGAATTATTCAACGGCACGTTCAAAGAGATCAAAGATCAATAATTTTTAGGTTTTCATACGTTACGATGTATTTTTACGTTCGATAGTTTTAGTTTTAGTTTTTTTACTCGGTTTTATAAAAAAAAAATTTCATTTCGAACGTAAATTTTTAGACTTTGTCGCGGTTGCAAAACGACGACACGTTCGCACTCTCTCGTAAATAAGGCAAAAAAAAAAAAAAAAAATTTTTTTTTTTTTAAATTTCATTATTTATCACGTCGTTTGTCCGACGTGTGTCGTCAACGTTTTTAAAAGAAAAAAAAAAAATCGTATAGTAAAAAAAAAAAATTACGACGGATGACAAAAATAACCGCTTTCTCGGTACGTAACTTTGCCTTGCCCCCCTCACCCGATTCCCCGCCATATTTTTTTTTTTTTCTTGAAAATCATTTTCTTTTACGCATTTTATTGGGGGCTAAAAAAATTTTTTTTAAAAACTTTTTCGGTAGAAAAAAAAAAATTTTTAAATTTACATCATCAATCGAAGGAGGAAATGATCGGGTTTTAAAAAAACCCGTTGAAAATTATCATTATTATTATTATCATTATTATCATTATTATTATTAAAAAATTTTAAAATTTACGAGTCCGAGCTCAATAAAACTGAAAAAAAAATTTTTTTTAATTTTTTTTTTTTTTAAACCTGAAACGAAAATTTTTTTTAAAAATTCTACGTACGTACGCAGCCAACATAATATAATAATAATAATAATAATAATAATAATGATATTAAAAAATAATAATAATGATGATGATGATGATTACAAAAAAGTTAAAGAGCCGCCGAGTGCATGAATATTTTTTTTTTCACGGATATTTTTTAAATCTTTTTTTTTTTTTGGTGGGTTTGTGCGTGTTTTCATGCGGGTATTTATAATAAATTCGGGTAGTAGGAAGTACCCGCGGTATTTTATTTAAAAAAAAGACGCCCCTGAATTTTAAAACGATTTTTAAAAAAAACCGAAAAGAAAATTCCCATATATTACGATTCGAATCACGTTTATTTAACTTTTTTTTTATTTTTCAAATTATTTTTTTCAAATAGGAAAACAAAAAAAAAAACCGTAAAAAATTTTCCGGTTTAAAATTTCCATATATCCGCCGCCACTGACGACGACATTGATTATAATTTTTTTTTTTAATTTGTTCGAAAAACAAATTTAAAAGACGACGACTTTGAATCAAACATTTTTACTAAAGTATAACATTAACATAAATAATTATTATTATTATCATTATTATTATTATTATTATTATTATTATTAGTTTTTAAATGATCCTCCTCGACCAAAAGCGTACAAAATGATTCGTTAATATTTGTCTTTAATATAAAAATTTTATCGCGGTGACATTTATATAAGACAATTTGACAAAATACGAACACTACCTGAATAAGCCTGTTTTATTGTGGGAGAACCTAAATATTGAAAACCTAGACCTAGTTTCTTTCTTTCCTTTTTATTTAACGTAAATCAAATATTTAAATAATATTAATATTAAAAAAAAAAAATTTATGAATTGTTTACGTTGTTCTTGCTACCATGGTCAACGCCTAATAATTCAAACACTCTCTCTCATCTTATAATAAATATTATTAATTAATTAATTAAATTGTTATTAACGTTGATTATTATTATTATTATTCTATCATCTCGTTTTAATTTTTTTTTTTTACGTAATCGAAAGTTCGGTAGAATTTTTTTTTTTTGGGGGGTTTTTCAAGGTGAAATTCTTTTAAAAATTAAATTGTGTACGTTTTTTTATTAAAAATCGTTTTAATAATTATTTTAAAAAATTTTACATAAGTATTTGTACCTATTATTATTATTATTATTATTATTATTATTATTATTATTATTATTATTATTATTATTATTATTATTATTGTTATTATTATTAACGAAATGAAAAAGGAGGTAACGAGTAGAGAAATCAATTTTTAACTGGGTGAAAAAATAAAAAAAAATTGTCGAGCGTTTGTGTTTGTTGGTATGGGTGGTTGGGTGCGTGTGTGTGGGTGTAAGTTGGTACGTGCGCGTTTGTAGATGAAGAAAAAAATTTGATTTGTTTGTTGGAAAACTTACCCTCGAGTATCCTCAACAATTCTTGAATTTTTTCAGCACGATTTTCCGGTGTTTCTTTCGAACCGTTTTCATTTTTCATAAGAAATTTTTCGCTTAAATCCGTTTCCACGGGAAATCTTTCCAACGGTCTAACGCTATCAACAATCGCCGCCATTTTTTTTTTAAATCGCGTATTAAATACAAACCGCGCGTATTTTATTATATTAAATTTAAATATTTTTTTTTTTTAAACACTTCAACAAATTTTTTTTTAAATAAAATTGTATAAATCGTTTTGAGTTCACCCGAAAAAGAATTTTAAAAAGATAGAAAAAAAAAAATCGTCTGCTTTCACTATTTTTTTTTTTTTTTTTTTTAATGTTTATAGTTTGAGTGGATGTGGTGAACTGATACGAGTTTAAAACTAAAACAACACTCGCGAGTAGACTTTTTTTTTTTTATCAACTTGTCAATGAATGACGTTCTTAACTTACTAAAAAGTACTCACGAGGTACTTTACGCACGAGTAAATGAGTTTATTTATTTATACTTATATATATATATATATATATATATATATATATATATACATACTCAGGGTATGATGGTTAACATCATCATTATTATTATTATAATGTTTGGGAAAAATTTTTGATTAGGTTAATTAAATGAATAATATAAATGGGTTTGTTATAAAAAAAAATTCTGAAGGTTTTTGAATTTTGTTGTTGTCGTTGTATTTACCTAGACATTGACATTAAAATTATTATTATTTTTTTTATTCGTTGACGAAAACGGGTGAGGTCAAAGGTCGTGATGCAATTTAAAAAAAAAAAATAAGGATTCGTTTTGCATATGAGAAAATTTTAACAACATCCAAATGGATTCGTTTCGTTTCGTTTTTTTTTTTTTTTGAGGTAAAAAAAATAATTTTACAAATCGTGACAAAGTTAATCGTATTTTTTAAAATTTTTTAAAACTGAATTTCTCTCTCTCTCTCTCTCTCTCTCTCTCTCTCTCTCTCTCTCTGACACGAGATACCTACGAGAAAAATAATTATCTCATTAAAAAAAAAAAAGAATTTAGAAAGTAAAAACTCGATCTCTTACTCTTTTTTTGTGGTAAACCTTAAAAAAAAAAATAAAATCGATACATTTTTTTTTATTATCAAATCTGATATTATATGTAGTGCAAGAGGGAGGGAGGGGAAAGGGGAAGGAAATCAATCAATAATTTCCACTTTATTTGTTTTACACGAATAACATAAAAAAAGGATTTTTTGGGGAGGAAGGGAGGGAAGGGGGTTTTTTAATTACATAGAAAAAATTACTTTCTTTTTAATTCGAATTTCGAGACCTTTTACCTCATAAAATTTCTAAATTTTTTTTTTTTTTTTGAGAGATGTAAAATAACGATCGATCGATTGAATTTTATAAATTTATCGATTGATTTTTTGTGTTAGATTTCAATATGATAAGCTACGATAAGATTCCTTTTTTGTTTTTAACGCAATTTAAAATTTAGTAAAAGTTTCGAAAAGGTTATTAGTTAATAACATAATAACGAGTGGGAAAAATCCGTATGAATCGTTTGTTTGCGAAATTTTTTTCAAAATCTCTAAAAATAATTTTTTTTTTGGAAAAACTCCCAAATTAAATTTCCCGCGTTTTGGAAAAACAAGTTAACAACGATTTTACTTTTTTTTTTAAAAAAAACTTTCAAATTTCCAAAAACGTTGTCATGACTTTAAGTTATAATAATAATAATAATAATTTAATATAACGACCATCGTTAATAGTTTACTAAAGCCTTTCGGTTATTTAACGGTTTTCTTATAGATTTCCATTTATTTACGTAATTTTTTCACACTTTTCCCGATGCGATTCAAATGAAAATTTTCCCCCTCCACTCCCTCCGTCTCTCTCTCTCTCTCTCTCTTATAAACGTCGCGTAATTAAATATCGATCCGTAAAGATTTAATATTTAAAAAAAAAGACTTTAAAAACAATATAACAACATAAAATTCGTTTTAATTACGATATAAAATTTTTTTTTTTTTTTTTAAATTAATTACATTTTTTTTATTACGGGGGGGTTCTGTATTCGAAATCTCAATAAAATAAACAATAATAATAATAATAATATAAATTCGTTTAAAATATTTTTTAAAAAAATTTAATTCCAATATAAAATTACCAACGATTATTTTTGTTTTCGTCCTAAAAAATTCATCCTTTTAAATATTTTAAAAGGTTTAAGAGGTACAAGGTTCCATTATGTTAAGGTTTCATTAAAATGAGAAACTTATCAATTTAAATATAAAATGTTTTGATCGTTCGCATAACTTTTAATTTATTAAGATATAATTGCGCGTAGTCAACGCGATTTGGCGTAGTAAAAAAAATTTTTTTTTTTTTTTGTACGCATTATTATTATTATTATTATTATTATTACCTGGAGTCATAAATAATAAATTATTCTTAAACTTCTACGTTTCAGTTTAAAATATTTATTATTATTATTATTATTATTATCTCCTACTAATATTCTTCGTACATGGAAATGAAATGAAAAAAAAAAAAACTAGTTTTACATAAAATATGGTGGATGCATTATTATCCACGCGAAGGATAAAAAAAAAAACTCGTAGTTGGCAAAGGGAGTAACTTAAACGTGACCCCGACCTCTTTTTTTTTTTTTAAATTACCTTTTGACAATAATAAAAATACAAACAATTAAATATGGTTAGTTTGCTTTTTTTTTCATATATAATCCCATAGTTCGAAATTATTATTATTAATTTCTTATAAGTTTTCTCATTCGCTAGTACCTCGTCGTCGTAGCATTTTCCAAAGAGTTTTTTATTGTTTGAATTAGTTTACGGTTACGTTTTCATTTAAATTCCCTTCCCCCCCTTTTCCCTACATAATAATAATTACAACGATTGTGTGATGAAAATTGACAATTTATCGATTTTGATATCAAGTGAAATTTTTTTTTATTAAAAACGAGTTTTCTGAACTTTTAGTACCCGCAGAAATAATACCTGAAAAAAAAAAAACTCGTAAAGTAATTAATAAAGGGCAAAACCCTTTTCTTTTAAAAAAAATATTTTTTTATCAGAAAATTATTTAAGAAAAAATCAATTGATTAATAATAATAATAATAATAATACTTTGAATACAGGTTCGTTTGAAATTTATTGTAGTAATAATATTAATAATTTAAATTAAAAACTGCATTAAGAAACAAATTTAAAAAAAAAAATTTTTTTTTTTTTTGTTGTTTTGAAATGATTAGTAAATTTATTGTATAAGAAGAAAAAAATAAGGAAAAAGTGTGGTACGGCATGGTTTACCTAGTTTAAAAAAATTATTATTATTATTATTATTTTGATATTTAAATTTAATTAATTTATGCTATCGGTAATAAATAAATATTTAATAATAATAATAAATTTCCAGTTTTCCTTTTCGTTCTATTTGGTCATTCACACTCTTGTAATTTTTATTAAATATTTCATAAGGGAAAAAATGTTTGGCCATTTTTTTTTTTTTTTTTTTTTTTGGATTGATATTAAATAATTATTTTCTTATAAATATTCTTCTACCCTTAATTTTTTTTTGCTTGGATCATTCTAGAAAAAATTTTTTAATGTTTGTTTTTTACACAATTGTAAGCAATTTCGTTGATATTATGTAAAGTATTCAAGTCGAAATAAGTTTTAGTTAATAATTAAAAGGTTAAATCGGGTTTTTTATGAAATTTGTAACTTTTTGTACTTTGAAAATAATTTAATTTTACTCCATTATTCGAATTACAAATAAAAATTTCCGTTAAAATATTTTTAAACGCACCGTAAGCCCGCCAAAAAAATTAAGCGTCAAAGAAAGTATGACTCAGTGGGTTATTCAATATAACGCGAGATGTTTTTAGCTGTGAAAAAATAAATATTAATAATTTAAAAATATCCCAAAGATTTTATTCTTTTTTTTTTATTGTAGTTAACGAATAATAAAAATACTTTTGATTTTTTTTTTTTAAAAAAGTGAATAAAAATAAAATTGGTTTGTTTCTTTTTTATCAAATGATTGTTTAGCAAAATATGCGTTACTTTTGAAAAAAATTTTTTTTTTTTTGACGTTGGCACCACTGTAAATGTTGCAGTTGTCAATTTGAGGCCGCGTCTCGGAGTTTAACTGTAATTTTAGTAAAGTAGTTTTTTGATTTTTTTTATAACCGACAAAGTTTGATTGTTAATAATATTCGAATTAATGTAAAAATAAAATCTTTTCGATTCATAACCTCGTCGATTATTATTCATTAAAACCGCAAACGAAAAATAATAATAATGTGAATTGACGACGGTTTGACGTTTGAAAATTATTCCACACGTTCCATTTTTCAAATTTTGAATTTTAAAAAATTCAGTAAGATTTCTATCAGATGAAATATGCATTAACAAATATTATATTTAAACCAAAGGAAAAAGTTTACAAATAATAGGTAATAGGTAATTATATTTACAATTAATGTACTTGACGTTTTAATTTTCAGGGTCATATCAATTGTTATAAAATGGTTAGTCACCCACTAATTTTTCTAACCATATAAAAACGTTATATGCTTGTAATGGTCATTATGAAAGGCGTTTATGGGCCATTGTTACTGTTTATTGGCAAATTGTTACTGTAAATAAAAATTTATTCAAGTGTAACAATCACAACTCAAAGTGATTAATGCATTTTTTCAATCGAATGAATTTTTAAGAAAATTGGTAATGAAACATCATAAAATACATAATAAATTGCTTGCATCGATTCATCATCTATTTTTATTTACTTATTTTTTCTTTTTTTTTTTTATATAAAAAAATACAAAATATGTTATATTTAAATGTTAATTTATAATTTACTTATGGTATATTTTCAAATGATAAATGTTAAACTGTCTTAATTATGTTTTTTTTCCTTTTTTTTGGGGGGGTGGGGGAAAAATTTCATTATTCGCATGAAAATCGATGATTTGTAAAAATAAATAATGTTAATCTGTTAGTTTGTGTTTCATATATATATATGTACAAAAGTGAACAAACATATTAAAATTATATAATAATTATTAATTATTTGTTTCAGATATTGAACAATCGCACAAGTGTGTAAGCATTATGTGACAAATATATAGTTTTATAGGGAAAAGAAACAAAGATTTGTAGAAATCTGACACTGAATGGTATGTATCGACTATTAATAATTACAAAATGCCATTCATTTTACCATTAAGAAAAAATTTTTGTTAATTTTTTAATGTTTTTCATTTGTTAGTAAAACTACCTTATGCTGTAAATTCATTTTAAAAATTAAATTAAATTTAAATAACCGCATTGTTGAAATTTAAATTTAGTTCTATGTAAAATCACAGGATCGCTTGATAATTTGAGCCTTTTTTTTGTAATTTCAGTCTATAATAATAAATAATGAGAATTTTATTTAATCAATCTTCATCTGAACTTGTTTTTTCATCTGATGAATTGACAAGTTTTTTTTCATATATTTCATCTGTTATTATGTATCCCAAACTTCTCAACTCTGTAAAACAAATATTAAAACAAAATTATTTATTTACTTTTAGGTTTCGGAAGAAATTTTACATGGAGACACAATCATTTGATATTTAATATAAGAAACAATTAATTAATTTTTAATTTATTTATTGGACTACTTATGGAACCTGATTTCGATTGAATTATTTTTAATGCATACATAATATGGTGAGTGAATTTTAAATTATTTTAGTTAATTTGTGACAGACACACTTACCCTCTATTACGTTTGGTGAGATTTTAACGTATTCGATCCATTTGTCGTATTTATACTTTGGTCTAATTCCACCGTATCTTTTGGGAAGGTATTTAGGTTGTATGTGATTGTGTAACGAATCTAAATCGTTGCCGTGGAAAAATATCTAGAAAATTAAAAAAAAAACGTGTTTTAAAATTTCAAATATTTTCATTTTTAATTTGTAAAACAATCGTTCGTACCTTTTTTTTCATTTTCGAGCTTAAAAGCGGTTGGAAAAGTTTATAAATCAAATCGAATACTTTTGATTCGAATATTATATTGACGATGTGCATTTTGAGCGGGAAACTTGTCTGAAATAAAAATGAGATGTATATAAAAATTAATAATAATGATATTTTGTAGGGACGAAAAATCATTTTGTAAAAAATTTTTCTCGAAAGTCTTTTTTCCCACATCGTGAAAAAATTTACGGGAAAAGTCTTTTAAAATTTATAAATTTCTAATGCGTTAAACTATGAATAAAAGATAATCTCGGTTAAATTATAATCTGTAGAAAGAAAAAGAAAAAAAAAACTATCTTAAAACTAAAAGACATGGCAAAATGGGATAAAAAAAAAAAAAAAGAAAATTACTTTAAGTAATATTTAATCATATAAATTGAATCAATTATTATAAAGAAAATTGAGAGAAAATTAGTAAGGTGGTAATAGTTTCCTTTTTAAATTATTTATCTATTATTTCATTTTGAAAAGTTTTTTTTTTTTTCTTTTTTTTTTTAAATTTGTTTTAACGGATTTTCAAAGGTTATGAAATTTTTTTTCTCAAATTACCATCGCAAAACGTTTTGTTGTACGTACCACCATGAGTTCCATAATTTTTTTAGCAACGCTCGGCGTTATGTGCCACAAATGAGAAATGGTAACGTTTTTAAAATCGAATAAAATAACGACTCCTAATATTTGAGATGCGGGTTCTAAACTACCCAATTCCAAAATGAGTAAAACGCTTCTTAATAATTCTTCGACGGTATACTTGCTCGTGTTCCAGTTTCCTAATTAAAAAAAAAAAAAAAAAAATTAATTATGAATTTTAATTACACCGTCGAGAAAAAGTAAAAAGAAAACTAATTTCTCACCCAATTTAATTATTATTATTCTTCTTTCGTTTTCATCTCTGTATGGTAAAACTTGTATGACATCCTCAGCCCCGACAAATGTTTGATGTAAAGGATTCACATTCTCGTGTAATTCCGGATTGTTTTCTTTAAAATTATAATAATTGACTAACTGTTGAAGGGAAAAAAAAAAAAAAAATAATAATAATCATAATTTAATTTAATCGGAAAACGGTCATTTTAGAAAATTGAATAATTGAACTCGGTTTCATTAGGGTATCGATGACGTGAAATTTTTGTTAATCGTTAAAAATGAAAAAAATTATTTTTATTACAGAAATGTTAATATTATTATTATTATTATTATTATTATTGTTGTTGTTGTTGTTGCTGTTGTTGTTGTTTGTTGTCTTTTAAGAATTATGCATTGTAACAATCCCTTTCGATATTTGTTTTTATTTAATGCTTTTCGTATGAATGTTTTTTTCTTACCAGTTTATATGTGCTTTCAATGTTAAAACTTCTGGCTCTTAAAAATTTGAGTAGGTACGCGTCATCAGTTCTGTGAGGTACGACATCTCCTCTCTCTGGAATAAAAAAAAAAAAAATTATTATTATTATTATTAATATTAAAATTTAAGCGAATTGAAATTAAATTTTTTGTCTATGATTTACCGTAAATGAGTTCTCGAAGTTCGTAAATTTTAATATCTTTATCATTTTCTCCATGATTTCGAGACCATTCCAAAACTTTTTCAGGTATCATTTCCAACTCGAGTTCAAATTTAACATCTTCGAATCTTTGCTTACTCATGTTACGTTACTCGGTTATTAATTATTCTATTAAAAAAAAAAAAAAAAAAAAAATTATTGTTATTAATTTTTTTTTTTTTCTATTTGCATTTTAATTAGTAATTTTCTTTTTCCACGTGTGACTTTTAATTGTAAAATTGAGTAATTTATGATGTTGATGATGCAAGTACTTTGGAACAATATTGTTGTTAATTATAATTTTTTTTTTTTTTATGTTGGTAATAATTTAAAAAAAAAAAATGTTTTGTTGTAAAAGTTTTTATTCGAAGGTTTTTTTTTTTTTTGTTATGTTTGTACCATTGAAATTTTTGTTATGTACGATAGGAGGAAACAAAAAATAAATTTTAAAACGTTTTTCGAATCACGAAGATTTCGTTTTCTGATAATAAAAAAAAAAAATTTGAATTTGAGTTAACGTGGTAACAGACAAAGGGCGGCTCGTAAGTGGTTTTAGAAAAGAAAAAAAAAGGCAGCCATTTTGAAGGTTAAATGATAGATCTTTATCCAAAATTATAATTAGATTCGTGGTTGTATCGTCCTAAGGTCATCAGATGGATTTAGTTTTTTTTTTTTTTTTCTATTCATTTTTTTATTTTTTATATGTCACAACTAAAATTGAAGATTTATCTCTTTGTAAAAGAAGAAGAAGAGTAAGAAAGAAAAAACATGAGAGTGAGAGAGAGAGAGAGAGAGAGAGAGACAAAGACAAAGATTCAGGGTCAGAAAAAAAAAGAGAAGGATGGAAAACGGAGTGATAATATTACAGGGTCAAATTCGTATCTGTAATTAAAGTTTTTTTTCATTGCATTTGTTATTAAGGAATCGAATAAGAAAAAAAAATTTTTGTATGTACTCTTACTGACGTGGAAGAAGAAAAAAATAATAATTTGTTTAATTTTAGTTTTTTTTTTCACGTTTACGGCATCCCCTTATAAATTATTATACTTCCGTGATTTGGGAAAAGGTTTTTGTCATTCGGGAAAATGGGTATTTATCGTGCTGTCAGAAAATCCTATTCAAACTTCCAATTTATTTAATAAAAATGGACGCGGTTGACATAATTTTGAGTTAAATGAGTTCAAAGGAAACAAAAAAAAAAAAAATCAATAATTAATTAATCGAAAAATGTAAGGCTAATAAAACAAAAGTTTTCACTTTTCACTTACTATAATTTTTTTTTAAATTAATCGAAATAAATACAAAAACGTAACGAATTAAACGTTATCACTCACTCACGCACGCAACGAATGCAATGGAAAAACTGTCGTCGTTAAAAACAAAAACAAACACAACAAAGAAAATGAAAAGAAACGATCTTTGATATATAAATATATATGTGTGTGCGTGTGTGCGTGTGCTTGTGGTGCGTTTTTATTTAAATTTAACGGTGGGAGAGAAAATGATGATGATTATGTGCATAATATCATTATTATCATTATTACTATTACTATCGTGATTACCAATATTTTTAATTGAAAATTTTGTCTTCCTGTACGCGTCTTACATGGGAAAATCGAAATTTAATCGTTTGAATCGTGATTATTCGGCACAAAATTTATCATCGTCAATTATTTTGTCCCCCCCCCCCACTTTTGTTTTTTTTCTCAAAACGATGGAGTGCGTGTGCGTGTGCGAGAATTCGGAAAAACGTTTTGGGTGAAGCCGTGCAAAGGAAAAAGAAAGAAAAGTTTTTATTTGCAGGAGGAAAAATGAATGAGGGATAATTTTTTTTGTTCGATTTGAATGTTTCGCAAGTTTTAAGTTCAATAAACTTGATAAAAAAATTTTTTCTATTTTTCTCTCTCTCTCTCTCTTTATTTTATATCAAGTCTAAGTTGTACTACTTAGTTGTCAGGGGATAAATAATTAGTTTAGCAAGTCTTGTTGGGAACAAGTTTTTTTTTTTTTTTTTTTCGTGAAGTCGTCCTTCAAATGTTTTTATTTACTCTCATTTTTTTTTTGTTTTGTTCGAAGGGTTTGTCTTTAAACTATTTGAAAATATTAATTGTAAAAAAAAAAAAAAAACGTATTTACATCGATTTAAAAAATGCATTTTTCTTTCCCCTTCCCCCCCCCTCATTTTTAGGGAAGGGGGATGCGATCGAGGTTTATATCATTTTTTTAAAAAAATAATGACGGAAGTTATTACCTCTGTTGTTGTCGTCATCAATTAAAAAAAATTTATTAATTTTTTTTTTATATGAGAGTTTTCGAAAAGGGAAAACGTTTTTAATCGGTTTTGTTTTTTTTTATGTAACTAGTAATAATAATAATAATAATAATAATAATTATTATTATTATTATTATTATTATTATTATTATTATTATTATTATTAATTTCACTCTTAAAAATTTCACGCTGATTTATCGGAATGAATCTTATCAGAGCATTCGTTTTTTTTTTTTTTTTTGATATCTTTTAGACGATTTTAGTTCTGATAAGATTATCCAGTTTTTCCTGGAATTTTTTCCGTTGTAGATAGTACCGACCCGCTTTTCTTTTTTTTTTTTAGTTTTCTTTTGAGTAGGGAAAGGATTTACCTTTTGTATTTTATTTATTGTGAACCTTCCAGCGAAGATATTTGCCGGGAAAAAAGGTTGCCGTTGTGTTCTTTTTTTTGTGTTAACGACACGTAGGCAAACGAACTTTGTTTAATTTTTAAAACATAAAAAAAATTTTTTTTTAAAGGTCAAAGGTTAATTTGATAAGAAAAAGAAATAAATAAAAAAAAAAATTATAAATTCGTCTGATTGAGAAATCGGGAACGAAAGTTGATGAAAAATACATATGGTGGGCGATACTCGCGGGTACTCAATAAAGCAACAATAAGAAACTCAATAATAATAATAATAATAATAATAATAATAATAATAATAATAATAGGATTTTTTTTAATGACTGACTGCGATTGACATTTACTGATCGATATTTACCAATCTCACGTTTGAAAAGACTTGTATGTTGACAATTATTATTATTATTATTTTTTTGCTCGAGGATATAAATGTCAGATGATGCTCATCGTACTCATTTTTATTTACACGGATTCGTTTTTTTTAATCCCCGTCGAAAGGGTGAGAAGATACCTGAAATCATTTCAGGTCTAAAAAACTTGAGAATGAAAAGGAATCGTCTTCGTTCCTTTTCGATCTTTTAAAAAAATGCCGAAAGGTTCGACATTCTGATAATTCAAATTTCGTCATTTTTTTTTTTTTTTTGTAAAAGGTTCGTGCCTAGAGTAATTTTCCGCGTTCGATTTTCACGATAATCGCACGATACGTTCACTTTTTGCATTGATCGTTTTGTTTATTATCATCATCATCATCATTATGATTATTATTATCATTTCCTTATGCAATAAAATTACGATCGTTAATATTGTTTAATAAAATAAAAGTTTTCATATTTAACCGGATATTTAAATAAATAATAATAATAATAATGGTAATGATGGGGGGATTGCGCAATAAAACGCAGCGGGTTAGGCTAGGAAAATCATCATCGTGAGAATGAATATTCATCGTGACGAATTATGTTTCCTCAAGTTGAACGTTTACGTGCAAACACACTAAAATCAGTGTTTGTAACGTTTGCTGTCGTCTGTTGTTTGTTGACCATTTTTTATTGTTGTCTGTTGCAACCAATCACGGTTTAGTTTGTTAAATCGGTCGTGAGTTTGGAAAATTTTCTTTTTTTTTTTTTTTTTTTTGGGAAACGATTGATTGTGTCTCTTTTTACTACAGAGTGATTGATTCTAAGGTGATGATCTTTAATTAATTTATATAGTTTGTGTGTTTGTTTGTTTAATTTTGAAAAAAAAAAAAAAAAATTTAAACTAGATCGTCGTCGTCGTCGTCGTCTGCTATAGAGTTGACGAAAATTGGATTTTTTTTTTTGGTTGTTGTTAAGTTGAATTGTGCAACTCATCCGCTTTCGAAGTTTTTTGTTTTTTTTTTTTTTTGTTTTATGTTTTTTTCGTAAACAGTTTTTTTGTTTTGTTTAAACAAAGTAAGTGGATGTTAAATAGTTAAGGTTACATTGCAATTTTTCAACGTCAATTTTTTTTTTTTTTTTTTTTTTTTGGTGATTTGGGTGAAACGGTGAAAAAAAAAAATGGCTAAATTCATGTCGTATATATAAGTTATCAGTAAATTTTTTTTTCGTATTGTACAATTTGTATTGATATCGTTTCCGGGTCCCCCATTTTTTTTTTTTTTTTTTAACTAAATAATAAAACGAAGTATTGAAAATGTGATTTTTATGTCCGTCGACCTTGAAATTACATTTCAATGTCAAATTTTTTTTTTTTTTTTTTTCGTGTTTAGGAGACATATTTTAAAAATATACGTATTGTTCTTTAAAAAAAAAAAAAAATTATTGAAGACGTCAGCAGAAAAATTTTCCGATGAAATTAAATAATAATAATAATGTTTGTCGATGTCCACGATTCGTTGATACTAAAAAATATTTTTTTAAATTAAATTGAATTATAGCGTCGTGAAAGTTATTTTCACTTTTTGCAAAATTATACATTAGCATTTTTCTCACCTTTATACGCACACGCATGCACACACGCACTCACGCACATTTTTGTAAGGGGTAAATGAACGTAAAAAACACCGAAATCTTTCAGCTTTTTTTTTTTGTTTTGTTTCGATGATTTCTTTTTGCACATTTTTGTTAGTAGTAATTGTTAAATGAATGTTTGCACGTATATTATGTTGTTGTTTTTGTTTTTTAAGGAGCGTCTGATTTAAACGAAATAAACACTAAAATGCTTTTTTAAATAATTAAGAGGAAAAACAATAATAAAAAAAAAAAAAAAAAAACTTTTTGAAAGTTTTGTTACGTTTCCCCGTAAACGAGTTTTTTTTTTTTTTTTTTTGTTTAAATTAAGAAAAGAAGAAAAAGAAAAAATTAAAAAAACCGTTATTTAATCGTTTTTTTTTTAAGGTACGAAAAAATGAGGGGGGGCATATGTAGGAGGCATGAACCGAAAT